CTTTCCCTTCCATCACCTCTTTGTCAATAGAAGAGTCCGCATCAGCAGGATCCAAGTTAGACGCCGATTTAGCCGCAAAACCCATCAGCAAGGCCGAACTAGACGCGCTCTTCACACCGTTCGATCTCAAGCGTCTGGACTCATACGCGAACAACATGCTCGACTACCACGTTATCCTCGACATGTTGCCTCCCATCGCTACTCTCTACTTTACCGGCCGTCTCAAGGGCCAAGTCAAGCTCAGCGGTATTCAAACTGCACTGCTCCTCGCCATTGGTCTGCAACGCAAAGAGTTCTCCGACGTGGAGAAAGAGCTCAATCTCAACTCCAGCCAGTTGATGGCCATGTTCGTCAAGATTGTACGAAAGGCCGCCACAGCATTCCGCAGCATAGTCGAAGGTGCAGTCGAAGAAACCATGCCCGACGCTATGGAAGTTGAAGAGAATGGTGCTAGCGGTGAAGCTGCCGAGGATGCCCACCGCTTTATACCGCTCGAGAAGGACCTACAAGAGGAACTCAGGGAGGGTGGCGATGAGTTCCTGGCTGAGGATAAGGAGAGGCAAAGGAGCATGATTGATGCTCTACCTCTGCACAAGTAAGTTTCTCAGATTCCACAGTAATACATGAACGGCCACTAACTTTTTACCTACAGATACGAAATTGGCGCCGGAGCCGCTGACTGGGAAGACGCCGAGCGCGCCGTCAGCAATGCCGCCAAGAAGGGTGGAGCAGGCAGCATGACCGTCGCCGTCAAGACAGGCGAGAAGAAGAGGAAAGTCGGTGAGGCCGTCGAGGAAGCATACAAGGAAGCCGAGAAGTTCAAGGAAGGCGCTGCGAAGAAAAGCAAGAAGCACAAGTCTAGCAAGAAGGCTTGATCGATCGGAAATATCACGCTGCGTATGCATGGTAAAAGGAGTTCTTAACCTGGCGTTATCAATCTAGTTTGGGGAAAATCCAGTGCTTTATACTTGAAGTAGTAAGGGTAGTCAGTCAATCAGTCTCCAATGTAGACCTAACCATTGCTTCAATTGACCCGATGATCTCACTATCTGTATGCGTCTAACCCTCTCTACTCGACCCTATCAAACCAGACCGAAACGAAAAAGAAGATTATAATATTATATACGCATAATAGTTGTAGTATTGAAAGAGTCGCGCCCAAGAATCGCTAGTACCAGCAAATCTGCAAAATATAAAGAACAGATTCGAAATGATTCAATCATGGAGGTGGGGATATCATACGCGTAACAACGAACAATATGGAAAATGGATATGGCCTCTTCTTCAATCCTTGCCCCATACATTCCCCCTTGTAATCTTATAACAAATAAGAGTCAGATAGTTAATCTCCTCACGGTCTTCGTACAGATGGAAGGGCGATAACACCATGCCCCCTTGTTCTTACACAACATCTGCGCTCATGTTCTAAAACGCGTCTTCATTAGGGCAGGCCGTAACATCATGACCCTCGCTCTCGCACAGCGCGCACCATTTATCCGGATCAGCGATAGCAGCGCCTTTGGGAGGTACAAGGTCGGAGTTTGACGCATTGAACGAGGGGGTAGGCAGAGGAGACGTGGGCGCATTGCCTGGTGGTTTCGAGGGGCTGAGAGCAGAAGGGCGGGCGCCAGCGGAAGAGACGGAGAGGCCGCGGAGGCCTTCGATGACGACGTCCTTGCCGCTTCGTAGACCGTCGTCTTGGGGGTAGGACGAGGCGTCTCCGCCCATGGCGGAGCAGTTTAGGATGTCGTGGCCACCTGTTTCGCAGATTTCGCACCAGAGGAGGCTGCTGTTGGCGGAGGAGCGGCCGTCGGACTCTGGCATTACGGAGAGTGCGGGGGGCGCATCGCGGCGGGTTTGCTGTGGTGGTTCGCGCCAGTTTACGACGGTGTCTTTTGAGTCGCGCTCTGATGGCTTTTCTTGGGTCGCCGTGTGTTCAGACAGGCCGTTGCTGATGACGCTTTCGCGCTGCTCTGCGAGGCCGAGCTGCCTCTTTAGCTTCTCGAGCTCACGTTCTAGCTCTTCTTCCCTGTATGCCTTGCGTTCCACAAGACCGCGGAGTTCTTCCTTCTCGCGCTCGAGACGTTCTGCGTTTGCTTTGGCGCTCTGGAGCTCTTCGGCATCGACATTGGACGCTTGTCGCGATAATGGTGAGCGGACACGGTCATCTCCTCCACCAGAGCTCAAGGAATGGATGATGGCCTTGAGACCTCGAATCTCGTCATCGCGCTGCTCGACCTCTCTTTGCCCTGGTGTGTGGGGTGCGTCGACCATTGCACCGGCACCCTTGAGAGCAGCAGCGGCCTTTTCGCGTTCGCGACGGAGTTCAGATCTGCCTCGCTCGACTTCGCCCCGCAAGAATTCGACTTCTCCTCGGGCCTCTGCTTCGCCTCTCCGCGCATCCTCTAGACCTTCTTCTAATTCTTGGACAAGCTCTTCTAGTTGTTTCAACTGCATCGCTACAGTCTCGACGTCTTCGCTGCGGGACGCATATTCCCGTAGCTCTTCTTGTAACTCTTCCACCTTCTTTTCGTATACGCGTTCGGTTTCGGTGCTGGCGAGCTCTAGGGTATCGATGGTGCTGCGGAAATCGGATCGATGTGCGTCGAACTCGGATGTGAGCATGGCGATCTTATCGTTCTTCTCCCTAAGAAGTGCTCGTAGTTGCGCTACATCAGTAGGCTCGCTGCTGCCGTGCGCCGAACCCATATCCAACCCGTCTTCTGGTATCAGGCTTTGGATCTCTGACAGACTCGCTTCCATTTCGCTCAGCGACGCAGCCTGCTCCTTAAGCTGCTTCTCGCGTTCGTCCAGTAGCGCCTGGAGCCGCTGTACTTCTTCGTTGGGTTGCGAGCCGAGGCGCGAACCAGGCCTTTTATACTTGTAACTAGCCATGGAGTCATTGCTGGTCCGCGCTGCGCCGACTGGGGTTGTCTCATTGTCCTCGTCGATGGTGTCTTGGTGGCCGAGACGAGAACTACTTCGCGAGTAGGGTCGTTGGGGGCCAGGTGTGCGTGGTTTCTGTGGGAGAGGGGCTCTGGGTGCAGGGCTGGCGTAACGAGGAGGCGCTGGACTCGCGAATCGCGGGGGCGCGCCGATTGCGCTCTTGGAGAAGCCAGAGGGTGTAAGTCCGCCGCTCCTTCCCGGTGTTGGACCGGTACCAAGGCTGCCTTTTCGGAGAGGAGACTCGGGTCTGTATGATGGTCTGGCTTGGGGCGGCCGCTTGGGACTAGGCGCGCGGGCTCCGGGCCCGACAGACTGTGAGAACTGTGGCTTCGGCATCGAGGGGGTATTAGGGCTGAAGCTCGGCTTCTCCATGGTGGAAAGACTGAAGTTGTTATGGTATGAAGGCGTGGTCGGCTCAGGTGCGAAGTCCGACGAGTCGGCTGAGACCCGTTTCTGAGCGCGATGGACGGGCAGGAAGATGCCAGAGCCGGGAACAGACGTATCGAAGTACTGTGTGCTGTAGATAAGTCAGTATGCGCGCATACGTATCGAGTGTTGTGTGTGCGTACCCATCGACAGCGCCGTCGTTCTTGCCCCGCGCTGCATACTCCCTGTTCAGTTCGACGCCCGCGAAGACGCCCTGCTTGCCCCGGATGCTGCCAACAAACTTGACGACACCGACCATGCCGCCGGGGACGTCGACCGTGTCGCCGACATCAATATCTTTCCCGTCTGCGCCCATCCTGTTCGATGGCGAGCCTCCAGCGCCGACTAATGCGGATAGCGATGCTTGCCGTGCGATGTTGCGGCTGGCGTTCAGCGAGAGATTGGGCGAGGAAGCAGTGGGGTGGAGTGCAGGGCGCGCTCCAAGACGCCTGGGAGTGTGCGGGTACGCCATACCGGACGGCTCGTTGACAGGGTCGACCTGTTTGGAGTAGCACAGGGCAGGTTGGACGGTGTTTGTTTTGATGCGATGGTACCGCAGGGGTTGGACTGCCAACGTAGCGGCGACTGACGAGCATGATTAATTAACCGATCGCTACCCAATCCATCTGCACCAGAACGTCAGGGGAAACGTCCCTCCTTTTCTACGCGCAGCCCCTCTTTTCACTTCAACGCTGCTTCGAATAACATCTCTCATTCTCGACGTCGCAACTGAAATGCAGCAGTATGTCATACAAGCTGTGGTACGCGACGGTAGCGCGCAGATCCTTGTGCATTGGGACCGACAAAAAGCAATCAATCCCGTGCCAATGACAGCATGCAGCCGTCCTCTGCCTCGCGACAAACAGTCCTTCATCTGCGTATACTAGACAATGCTACTGCTTGTTTGAAGCATAGGGGGTTTCGCAACATGTGAATTGACGTTCCCATATCCGGCTGCCTGAACTATTGGACCATGCTAGTATCACCAGCCATTATTGACGATACTATTGATATCCCAAAGTCTGCCGACGCCACAAAAGCACCATCAAGTCGCGTACTTAGTCTCCGATGACCAAACCATGTCCTTGCTTTATCGACGCGAAGAGACCAAGCCCTGCATAAGCAGTGAACGCAAACGCGTGGGCACGTGAGGAGGAGCGGGAGCGGGGGAGGCCGTCAGATTCCCGGCTGCCTCCCGATCGCCTGCTAGAGGCCTGGAATACCTAACACGTGTGAAGACAGGAAAGCTCTTTGGTATTGTGTTGGAACGAGCAGTTTCAAGGTTGCAATCAGCCTGACGCTCCCATATCTACTTAAACTACAGATGTGGTAAACACATGGATTTAGTCATTGAGACTGCGTATCTAGACACTACATGGAAAACAGCAGCTTCCCAACAACATGCATCTGCAATCTTCTTCACAAACACTTCAAACTCCAAAAGGTGTAAAATCCCATCCGCATCGACTCAGCTACCCGCGGAGTCGCCGCAGTTCCCGACTCGCCGACCGAGCGCCTTTCCCCATGTTCCATAATTGCCTCGGCTCACGCCTCGGTGATGGTCAACCGCGCCAACTACATCACTGCTCGCGCGCCCACACCATGTTTACTCAACAGCCGCTCTCACCATGGCCGGCAACGTGCGACAACCAATCGACATTGCGTCGCTAGAGCGCTACATCACCGCCAATGTGCCCGAGATCAAAGTTCCACTGGATGTGAAGCAGGTACGCTGTTCGAAGTCGGGAAGAGCTGGCCATGTTCGCTGGAGATGAAAGCTAACAAATGGAAAGTTCGGTTATGGACAATCGAATCCGACGTACCAGTTGACGGATAAAGATGGCAAGAAATATGTTATGAGGAAGAAGCCCCCGGGTCAACTGCTGTCAAAGGTATGCTGAGGCTCTTCAATCGAGACAGTTGGTCGTTATAGCTAACACAAAGCTTTGTAGACTGCGCACAGAGTCGACCGCGAGTACAGAATCATCCACGCACTCGAAAAGACCGATGTTCCCATCCCGCGCGCACTATGTCTTTGCCAGGACCAGGACGTCATTGGCACCGACTTCTACATCATGGACTTCCTCGACGGGCGTATCTTCGAAGATCCCGCGATTCCAGGCGTAACAGCTGAAGAACGCACCAAGATGTATGGCCTCTCAAAACCTCATGAGAATTGACGACAGTACTAATGCATAGCCTCCAGGTGGCACTCCGCCATAACCACGCTCGCGAAATTCCATCGCGTATCCCCCGCGTCTGTCAACCTCGCCTCCTACGGCAAGAACTCTGGCTTCTACAACCGCCAAATTGCAACCTTCGATACGATCTCCAAATCGCAAGGGGCGGCTAAAGACAAGGAGACTGGGGAGCCAGTAGGCAAGATACCGCATCAAGACGACATGGTAGCCTTCTTCAAAGACCCAAAGACGCAGCCCAAGGACCGCGCAACCTTTGTCCACGGCGACTACAAGATCGACAACGTCGTTTTCCACAAGACAGAACCTAGAGTGATCGGCATCCTAGACTGGGAAATGAGCACGATCGGCCACCCGCTGTCTGATCTGAACAACGTTCTCGCGCCCTACGTGACAGCATCGGATGAAACGGCCATGTCAATCGGGCGCGCGCACAAGGGTTTCCAACCCGGGGCTACACCTGGTCTACCTACGCGAGAGCAACTGATTGCGTGGTACTCTGAAGTTGCAGGCTGGGATCCGCGACCGGACTTCGTTTGGGGCGACGCTTTCAGTACGTACAGGAGCGCCATCATCATGCAGGGAATTGCTGCACGGTATGCATTGAGACAGGCGAGTAGCGAGCAGGCGCAGTCGTATGGGGCTATGATGAAGCCCTATGCGGAGATTGCATGGGGTCTTGTGCAGAAGATTAACAGAGGGGCGAAAGCGAAGCTATAGCGTTCCGATCTGTGTAAGTTGTTCGTCAGTAAATCAAATTCCAAATGCACTTGAGTTCTTTTGTGGAAATCGTGATGTTGGAGCTGTAAAGGTGGGTTGTTGATTCTCTGACTCTGAAGATAGTAATGGCCGGGCGCCGTTGCACTTTTCTCTACCAGATTCTTTTATCGAGATCCAAGCCTCTCCTTGCCCAATTTGCCCAGCTGGTATCATGTGGGTACAGTATCGTCCTGTAGATATGAAAATGTCAATATAGATGTTCCGCAAATATCCTCCGTAACAGTAGTGCTCCGGATGAGCGGGCGTAGAAAGGGGCCCGGTGAGGCATACCCGTAAGTGTTCGCGCCTCAAACGCCCATGCGCCTTATAATGCCCGGATTCTGTCCATCTGCCTCGCTCTTGCTCTCTTTCGATGTACCACGGGCACTGTGTTACTCGTTGCTTGCGCGTTTGATTCTCTATCGTCCGATCTTGGGTACGTCCTGGTTGATGCGGTCGAGCGCCTGCGCCTTGGTTAGCTTTGATTTCTTGCCTCTCAAATATGGGATTCCATACTTCGAGCATGACCACGGCATTTCCTCTGATGACGACCATGCCGATGCGCACCTTCTCGCCGCCAGCCTTCTCTTCCAGCGCTTCGTCAAGTACAATGTTTAGGTAGACCTGCGGTGTGTTAGCTCGATCCAGAGGTAACAGGGAAAGAGTACGTACGTCGTAACCACGGAGGATACCCATGACTTTGCGGCTGCCATTGAGCTGGACGAGAACGCGCTTCTCGAGGTACTTTACAAGGTTAGGTTCTGGAAGCTTGCGTCTGCGTAGCTCACTCACCTTCTTGAGTTCTGGCTGTGCTTGAGGCATCTTGACGGTAGTAGACTGTTTTGAGCTCAAATGTGGCGGTTCAGGTTCCTGGTGACGGCTTCGGGTGGCTTCGCTCGTGTGGGTCGGTCGTGAGCTGGAGACGCGCGTGGTGTTCACGAGCAAGAGCAGCGCTGCGCATGGTGGGATAGCTCCGTGGATTTTGCGGAGGGCCCGTGCGTAGGCGGCAGCCACGACATGTGCGCGCGCATGCTATCTTCTGCTCTACTACTCAACATCCCTTTCTGACAAAGGAACTTTTAACACAAACATCCTCACGATGAAGCGATCCGGTTCCAACCGCGTTGCACGCAAGATTGGCAGCTACGACGACGACGCATCCACCGACAGCGCAAACAACTCGCCGAGCGAAGTACAGAAGCCCACAGGTCAGTCACCAATTGTCGCGATTGCCAGCCTTTCTGACGTTGGGGAAACTCACAGCGAATCTCTCCAGGCCTTGTTGAAAGCTGGCGACTTAGGTGGCTCCGTACTAACTGGCCGTGTAGTCGTCAAGCGGCCAACGATTGGTAAAGCGAAGAAGCGTTCTTCCCTACGAGTGTCTTTTGGCCCAGGCGAAGACGCGAACGATGGCGACGACTCGAGCGACGCAGCCGTTGTGACCCCAAAGAAGGCGAACCTCAGTCGCATAGCCCTGGAGAAGAGTGCGCAACTGCGGGCACGCTCACCTCTCGTACCTGAAGCCGCTCGCCCGACCGAATACAGCAAGGACTACATAGCAGAACTGCGAAACTCGACGCCGTCAACACCCCGCGACCTGAATACTTCCGCTGAAGATGAAGAGGAGACGCAGGCCCTAGATATCGCATCGAAATTCGGTCCTGTCGCATCGCTCGAGACGTCATCCGCAATCCCTACAGAAGCCGAGATTCGAGAGAAGAAGGCGCGAAGAAGACGTTTGGCACACGAAGAGAACGCTCTTGACGACGAAGACCGCGCGTGGGCATCTGACGACCAGGGAGAAGACGAGTTTAGACAGCACAGGAACGAGATTTCTCTTCGGCCAAAAGACAAATACGGAGAAACGCGTCTCATACACGAAGATGAGGACATCGCCGAAGGTTTCGACGATTTTGTCGAAGATGGCAAGATATCGCTCGGTCGCAAGTCAGAGAAAGAAGCGCGACGAAGACGGCGCGCGGAAATGGCAGAACTCATCAACGACGCCGAAGGCGGTTCGGGCGACGACGGGACGGACGACTCGGACGAAGAGAGGAATACGGCTTTCGCCGCAGCTCAAGCCCGCGCAGGACGATACGGCCAGAAGGTCGAAGACGAGGAAGATGGCACAAAGACTCCACCACGCATTACGCCCCTTCCAGACCTAGACGAAGTCCTCGAAGGCCTCACGATCGACATACAGACAAAGCAGCAGAGGAAGAACATGATCCTGCAGAAACTACAAGACCTTAAGGACGACAAGGTTAGAATTGAGGAGCGCAAGAAGTACCTCCAGGAACAACTGCAGAAGACAGGCGATGAGTACGAGAAGCTGCGCCAGGAGTCAGGGCTTCCGGCGTTACCCGCAATTGGCGTTGAAGGAGGCCGCTTGATCACAGAGAGAGGGTTGGACAGTCTGGGCACCACGCCTTTGGCTGGTACTACACCCGTAGCCGGTAGATCTAGCGACGACTCTGATGATGAGTAGCGTTTGTTAGAATTGGAGTATCTAGCTCCGGCATGGAAATGCTGGGCCAGCCGTATAGTAATACTATGGACATGGTTCATGAATGTGTATGAACGCTCCCGTAACGCCTGAATTCCGCATTCGTATAATACAAGAGCCTAAAAGCTCAACGTTGATCGTATCCGTAAACTCCCATTCGTATGCAACATCTCCTCCATGCCCGTGACAGACCCCGCGCATGCTCATTTGTTCTCATCCAACTCCTTCCACACCTTCTGTATCTTCTCCCTCTTCTCCTTGGCCGCCTCGCGATTCTGCTTCGTCCGCTCGAGTCGCAGGCCGCGCAGGCACATGTTGACTTTGTATTTCGCGTCGGTGCAGTTCCCTGTTACTTTCCAGATGAAGCCGCGGTTATGGCATTCTTCTAGCGCGGCGACGACGTCTGCGCAGTCTGGTGGGTGGGTGTTAGAAGGTGTGCGCTGTGGGCTGCGTGGAGGGGGAGGGGTGGCGCACTCTTTTGGACTTCTTCGGTGTGTAGATGGGGATGCATTGTGGGCTTGTGCGGGAGGTGGTGGTTGGGAGGATAGACGGTGCGAGGTTTGGGAGACTTGGAGAAGAGGGTGGTGGTGCTGGGCTCGATCGGACGGGTACTTGGAAATGTTGAAGTTGCCGACGAATCGAATCGTTGAAGATCTCGTGAACTGCGTCCGAGCGCGCGCCTTCACTCGGAGCCACTTTGTGTCGAACGCGTGAAGACTCGCGAGACCTTTTAGAAATTACTCAGCCACTTCCATTCTCTGTTCTCTATCCAAGATCAGCAACTATCCGACTTCGTACCTACATAGTACGCATAGAATCAAGAATCTTCTCTCCCCCGAGTTCCCCGCAACCACCGCCGACTCCTCACCACCGGGCACACGTCAAAAAGTCACATCGTCAGTATGGCATCCCAGCAGCAGCTGAAGAAGCAACAAGGTTAGTGGTCATATTGATTAATCTTTTCGCCCTCGCTGAACCAAAACAGAGCTACAGACGACATATCAAAACTACAAGGTAAGAACGGTTCACAAAGGCGTGAATGCTTAATTGACCTTTTCGAAGAATACACTCCAAACAATTGCCTCAAAGATTGGCGACATCGAGCAAGAGACAGAAGAGCACAAGTAAGTTGCATAGCACCATCACTACGAAGCCACACCCGGCGATCGTTCAAACCTTCCCACACCGCTCGTCCCTTGCATCAGCCTTGCATTGCTCCATGACTTGATAGTTCCAATATCTCACACCGCTTCATGTTCCCATTACAACATAATCAATACTGACAGACACCAGACTCGTATTGGAGACGTTGCAACCATTGTCAGGAGACCGGAAATGCTTCCGTATGATCAACGGTGTCTTGACCGAGCGAACGGTCAAGGACGTTGTGCCGATCCTGCAGACCAACTCCGATGGTCTTAAGCAGGCTCTGGAAGAGCTAGTCAAGCAGTACAAGTTGAAGCAAGATGAGATGGAGAAGTGGAAGGTACGTCATCAGTTACACTTGGATCTCACACAGCGTTGACCCCGGCTTCTATTTCGATATCATGTAACTGACTTCCCTTACAGAAGAAGAACAATGTCCAAGTTGTCCAACAGCCAGGGCAGTAGAAGATACCAGTGATGCAGCAACCCTTTGACAGGATGGGCACACGGCATATGCTGGGAGCCACATGAGATGACGCAGACGAGTACGGCAGCGATGTCTCCGGTGACTGGAAACGGGGTAGATGGATCGGGACCCTGGCAAAGCTTTCTGCGTGTTCCGAGACGGAGTATACAGACGTAATAGGGTCTCTCCGGTTTCCGATCTTTGCACAGCAGGCCACGACAGAACAGCACAGCCTCTTGATGTCAACGAAAGGCTTGCCGGTGAATGAGGTCTATATCGATCGTGTACTATACCTCCCACAAATTACGAGAATCTTGCAATGTCACGATTGAACAAGCCACGACAGACCCGGGTCGCTGGGCTTTCAGCTACCATCCTACCAATGATGCCGCACATGCAGCCTGAAAGACCCCACAAGCTCGAACTACGTATGTGTCTGCATGAAGTGACTGATTCAGGACTGCACCGTTGTCCCGGCACGTGCTCCCAGCCCCAGGGGTCTCTGCAAGATGCGTTGTCCAGTCGGCTCCCACTCAAAGCAACGCACTGATCTGCACCATCTCACCCATGAAAACGGACACGTAGCTCATAGGCTACCAGCAAAGTCTTCACAGAGAATGACGAACGGTCCGGGGGTCGAGTCGTTAGTGGCTGACTTGAACGTCATCTCGTGTTGGCTTAGTGAAGCTGGAGCAAGGCTGTATGCAACATGCGCGAGAGCCCAACGAACAGCGAAGACTACTGACGTCGACGACGGCCTGGGATGATGCTAGAAGAGGCTTGGACAACACACGTTCTCGCTGGATGTCATCTGTGGCTGCAGTGGTGAAGACGCGGCAGAGATATGGACGTGGGGTGGTGTTGGTAGGGCTGCCGAATGAGCTGCTGATGCGACTCGCATACAGGATCGCCAGCTAGCTCAAGGAGTCTGCAGTAGTAGGCCAGGTTCCGAACAGACGGTATGCCGGTGCTATGACCGGTCCGAATATTGAAGCACACGCACGGTATTGTAGAAAGCTGCGCGTTGGAAAGCGAATGCGGCGCAATGTTGCTAGGCATGATGTGAGAGGGGAGCTGGTTCGGCACGGGCCGGGATTGGTGCGGGCGGCCGAATTTCTCTTCATTCTCACCATTCGATTCGCCCATCGAGGTAAATCCCCAATCCACCATCTCTCCGCGCACCAACGCTATCGCGCGTCCAAGCTCCATCGTCCCCCATCTTCTCCTCGCGCTCCTATTGGCAGGCGCGTCGTCAACTGCTCCAACGTCGCGACGTCAAGTCTCGATTGACAACTGCCACGCCTAACTGCGCCCGAATAACGCCCTGATTCAAGCCGGTCCGCCTGCATATCGTCCCACCGCTACTCGCAAGACACGGTCTGTGAATCGCCAGTGTCGCACGCGGTATCGTGCCCGCCGCCCGTAGCACACCAACTCCGCCGTGTGTCGCGACTGCCCCGATCGCGGTCGCGCCTGCCACTGTCGCAAAGCGCCCCTGCCAGCTCCATCGTGGGTGCGACGCCAGCATCGCAGGTAGCCCCGGGCGTCACCACGAGCCGTAGTTCACTCAGCGCTCCCTTGCGCCGTGCTCTCCGCTGTCGCAGCTCCCCACGTACGTTAGCTGCATCCCAAGCTGGCCGCTGCATGCCACTAACCGCTTCCTTCGCCAGGCCTCTCGTTACACCACTGACCGCAGGTTGCATACTCGGCCGCCAAGTTGTCCCGTCGTTTCTCCCAGTGACGTGGTCGCCAACGAAATAGTCGCCAGCGCATACGCTTCCGAGCAGGCAACCGATAATATGTCGGCCTCTCCCCCAAAGCAGGAGGGTGTGGAACCAGTCCAGTCGCCTGACGAAGAACAGCCCATGGACAGGAACACAGAGGAGAACACAGCTCAGATAGGTTACGAATTCGAGGTCAAGGAGCAAGACCGATGGCTTCCAATCGCCAATGGTACGTCTATTTCCCTTGCTGCCTCCCGCTGTTTTGATTTGCGCACCGTTTCGCTCCCATCTGCACGTCGACGGATTGCTCCAACGGGCGTCTCTGGATGCCGACAGTTCCTCGACTCGCGCGTCTCTGCGTCGAATCACCGCAACTCGGCAGCCACTCAGGTCTGCCGTGTGCCTGGAAAACGGCCGGCGTGCAGCCTGCGAAATGTCGTCCTCTTCTCCACACTCGTCCCTTTCCCCGCCCCTTTCGACGCCAAAGAGCACAAACGCGAATAGCAGCACGGCTTCGGATGCTAACATACGTAACTTTGCTCCAGTCGCGCGAATCATGAAGATGGCGCTGCCCGAAAACGCCAAGATCGCCAAAGAGGCGAAAGAATGCATGCAGGAGTGCGTGAGCGAGTTCATCTCCTTCATCACCAGCGAGGGTATGTCTCACTCCAGCCCTGTTCAAGACCGCCACTGACTCTGCTGCCAGCCTCCGAAAAGTGCCAACAGGAGAAGCGCAAAACCGTCAATGGCGAGGACATCCTCTTCGCCATGACGTCGCTCGGTTTCGAGAACTACTCGGAAGCCCTCAAGATCTACCTGTCCAGGTATCGCGAAGTAAGCTGCCAACTTTTCCTATACCCCCTTTGTCCTTCTTTTGTTGCCTACTATTTGGCCGAAACGTTTATCTGAACTATTGGTATTGATTGGTGGTACGAGACCCTCCTCGCAAATCAGAACAAACCACCCACTGGGCAGTTCGGTTCCGCAGGGCCCGGTGGGCCCGGTGCAGGTCCCGAGAATCAGCAACATGTACTGAGCGGCGACTCCGAAATGACCGAAGACGGCACAGCCTTTGGCTACACGGTCCACAACGGGAACGGAAACGAGTACTAGGTGTCTCGGGCTCTGGCGATCAGCGAGGAACGAGAAGAGGAGGGAGACGATTGCAACAAGCAGAAGCAGTCGTATATCAACCTGATCGCTGGAAAGGAAATTCTCCCGAAGGAGGAGAAGGAGTGATGAAGCTAAGGACACCTTCGCTATGGTCAGATTGTAACAAGTGCGCAACTGTCGCTCACAGTCGGTGGATCATGTTTGAGGTTATCAGGGGTAGGATGCAGGTGCATAAATACTCTGATGTGTTACGATTGGTTGGAGTAGGTCAGGACATACATGGGCAACCACGATACCTTTTGGCTTTGCCGGATTGCTGGTCTAGATATTTCTTCTTGCTCACACGAGCTTTACAACATTCGTTATATCCTTTTGATCAAATATCATCAACTTCACGACAGATCGAACTAGTTGTCTTCTTATTGGTGTGGCGTTGATGCTTGATATGCATGTCTAATTGCTGTTGGCGGCTGCGGCCTGTCTCCGAGCAATCAGCTGACTTAACGGCACATCATCGTCCTGTTCGTCGTAGAACTCCACATCCTCATCGACACCAAAATCCTTCAGCCGTTCGCCCTCTGAGTTTCGCCAAGCTGCCTCACCTTCCCGCTGTTTACCGTTTTCCCTACTTTCACCGTCCTCTTCTTCCTCCACATCATCACTAGCATCATCCCCATACGCATAGTCTTCCTCATCCCTGACCATCTCCCCATCCATCTCATCCTCCACCGTATCCCTCTCCACAGCCCCAGCATACGGTCTCCGCCTCCTCACGGCATCCTCCGCCTGCCTCATCTTGAACGCGGCCACCGTATCCTCAGCATTCAGATCGGACTCCGCAAACCGAAACGCATCCGCATTCACCGCCGTCGCATTCCTCCTATACGCCCGATCCGGATCCGGAGGCGGCCAAACCGTGCCCTCGTCCTCAAAACCATTCGTCTCGAAAGCCAATCCACTGCTCAGACTAGGTGTCGGAGCCAAGGGATTGAACCACTGCAGTGGAATTCTCGAATCCATACCCTGGACAATGTTTGACCAGATACCGATATCGTACGGGAACTCCTGTTTCTTGATACGTATCTTGGTTCCGTCGGGACTAGGTAGGTAACCGCCATACTGGCGCGCACGGCGTAGAAGCGTTCTGTGGCGTTCAATCTCCCAGCCTTCGATTGTGGTTTGGTTGATAGCCAGGCACCAGAGATTTCTCAGTAGGAGGACACCGAGGATGAAGAGGGTGATTGAGTTTGTCAGGAGGACGGCGAAGAGGTGGCCTAGTTGGAAGGGCGTGGGGCCGAGGTAGGAGGGCATGTCTAGGTTGGACCAGAGGTGCGAGAGGCGGATGAAGAGGAAGTATTGGAGGAGGGAGAGGCCGAAGGTCGTGTAGAGGAGGAAGCGCAAGAAGTGAGGGAAGGTGGTGTGGCTGACGCAGTTGTTGGTCCAGGGGCAGTGGTGGTCCATTTTGGGTATGCATCTTTTACACTCCTTGCAATGATGCGCTCTAGGCGGCTTCGCGGCATCGCACTTCCGACACCATTTTCGGCTCTTCCCTGCGATATCCAGACCTGTCTCTTTGCCAGATGTATCGCCGTGTTCATCTCCCTTTTCAGCACCTAGCTCTTTCTTCACACTCCAATCCTTTGGTATCGTCCCGGCATCAACGAAAACACTCTGCGTATACGTAATCCATATCAAGACCAAAATCATATTCGACACGATGAGTTCATTCTTCGTAAGCGGAGCGGGTTCCAACTGCGTCAACAGCCATTGCGAGGGATAGCCGAGGAAGAAGATGAGGACGTAGACAGCCGGGACTGCACATTGATTGATTTCCATCATGCGAGGGACATTGACGTGAAGTCGTTGATGTGATGAACGTTGGCAGAAAGGCAGGATGACGTTGCGGATGTGGAAGGGAGGTTTCGCGTCGACTAGGGTTGTTTGCGGATATGGTGGATCGCGAAGACACGTGATTGGACGATCATGTAAAAGCAACGGCTCACACCTTTCATTCGTCCGTCGCCATCTTCTACCAACCACTTCATCGCGCCTGTCATCTCCATTCCCGCAGAGCTTCCAAAAGCTCTGTTACTTGTGCGAATGCCATGGCGCTCTCAACATGGCCGTTTTTCCTCCTCATACCCACTTTTGTTCTAGTACACCTGTTCGTTTCGCCGTACACCAAAGTCGAAGAGTCGTTCAATATCCAGGCTATCCATGATATTCTCGTTCATGGGATACCTACAGAGAATACAGATCAGTTCTTGACGGCGAATTACGATCATGTCAGTTTTCCAGGGAGCGTGCCGAGGACGTTTGCGGGCGCGTTGGTTTTGAGTGGGTTGAGTAGGCCTGTCGTTGGGTTCTTGGGGGATATGGCGCAGGTGCAATTGCTTGGTGAGTAGATTTGAGGATGTTGAATGGAAGATGGAAAGGCTGATTGTGGGGACAGTGAGAGGAGTACTTGGACTGCTTAATGCGGCTTCGCTCGTTGCGTTTGGGAGGAGCGTGCAGAAGGCTTTTGGTACTAGTGCTGGGGTTTGGTATGCGCTGTTTCAAGCCAGCCAGTTCCATGCTATCTACTATGCTTCGAGGACGCTGCCTAATATGTTCGCTTTCGTTTTCAGTAAGTTGCATAAGGTGCTTCGTACATCTATTGGCTTACATCGATTTAGGTAATTTGGCCTTGCGAAGCTTGTTGCTCGCATACACTGTACCATGGAGCGCCTCCAACATCTCAGGATACTACCGGCTGTGCTTGTATCTGCTCACGATTGCCGGTGTAGTTTTCCGCTCGGAGCTAGCGATCTTGGTGGGAACAATCACCATCTACTTGTTCATCACTCGGAGGATATCCATCACGAGCGTCATCATCCCAGCTGGACTTGGTGGCCTCGTCATCGGCCTACTCTGCACTGTACCTCTGGATTCATTCTTCTGGCAGTCTTTCCCGCTGTGGCCCGAGTGGACGGGCTTCTACTACAACACTATCCAAGGGCATTCGGCTGACTGGGGTGTCTCGCCATGGCATTACTACTTTGCAAATGCCTTGCCACGATTACTGCTGAACCCCGCAACCTATTTGCTTTGCATACCGGTTGCGGTCATGAACACATCGACATCTAGACGAAGTCTGGATCTGCTTGTTCCACTGCTCAGCTTTGTGGGCCTGTACAGCTTCCTTCCGCATAAGGAGTGGCGTTTCATTCTCTACGTGATTCCAGGTTTGACTGCCGTAGCTGCCGATGGAGCAGCCTGGATCTGGAACCGCAGAACAAAGTCGGTCGTATACGCTACTCTAAATTTAGCTTTACTAGGGTCAGTTCTGGTATCATTCATTGCATCCACTGCGATCCTGGGTATCTCCAGTCTCAACTATCCTGGAGGCGAGGCCCTTCACACGCTACACAAGGAGATGGAGCACCCGGCTAGAAATCACTTCAATGTATACTTCGATAACCTTGCTTGCCAAACAGGCGTCACGCGATTCCTCGAGAGCCACAGAGGACCGCAGACAGTGCTCGATGTCCTTGAAGCACAGGACACTTTGAACAGCAGAACATGGACATACGACAAGACTGAAGGCCCAAACGTCCTGTTGGACCCAATGTTTTGGATCAAGTTCGACTATGTTCTTGCCGAGAGCCCGGAGAAGGTTATAGGTAGCTGGGAAGTGGTCCATACTGTATATGGATTTGGCGGGGTCAGGCTTCTGAAGCCGGGAGAAGAAAGTGGCTCGCTAGTCGAGCACTCGGATAAGAACACTTCGCAAGATAGGTGGGCGTCGAAAGTTGCAGCGACATGGCATGGATTGGAAGGATTGCTGAGGAATAGCCTTTTGAGAGGCCACTGGGCTGAGATACGGATGGAGCCGAAGATTCGTATTTTGCAGAACCAGATGAAGTAGTCGCGGGAAGTAATGAGCAGCCACGACCAAACGTGTAACAATTCAGTCGATCCTTCCCTTGGATGAGGTGGTTGTTTGGTGAAAGTCCGCGGGCGTCACTCGCGTTGAAGGACCCTTGCGCTTCGCATACCCCGCCACGCGGGCTTTCTGCCCCACCAAGCTCTCTCTTCCCAAGCATCGCGTCGACACCCAGTCCCACCACTCAACGCACCACTCTTTGACACCTCAAAGCACCTGAGAGTCTGGAGTATATCACACTGCACAACATGTCAGCCGACGCGTTACCGAAGCCCGTCGTCTACTGCGGAGGCAAGCATTCCCACACTCCATTGCGACTAGGGCTAACAAGAAGCAGTATGCAGTCTACCACCTGAAGTAGGTATGACACCGAGACGCGTTGTAAGGGAAATCGCGACTGACAAGACCAACCCATAGTACTGCGAGTTTGGCGGCACAACGAAGAAGTGTGAGGAATGGCTAGAAGAGGCGCATCCAGATCTGCACGCGAAGCTGTACTCAGCAGGTACGTAGAGTCAGCCATATTGGGAAGCCTATGGGGCGCAATACGTATGGGTCAAAACACATCTGCTAAGCCCCCTCTAGAAGCGCTACAGCAAAACATGGCCTCCCTCTCCGTCGACGCCCAAAAACGCGCCGAAAAGGACGCCCAGAAGAAAGCCGCCAAAGCCGCAACCGCCGAAGCACGAGCAGCCGAGACGCGCGCATCGTCCAAGATCCTCATCAAGCGCATCGAGCGCAACAAGCGGAAATACGTCACCGCCGTACAGGGTCTGGAAGCGTTTGGTCTCGACATCAAGAAGGTGGCCAAGGACTTTGGCAAGAAGTTCGCGACGGGGTCAAGTGTCACCAAGATCCCCGGTGGCGGCGAGGAGATTACGGTGCAGGGTGATTTGAGTGAGGATATCTTGGAGTTCTTGGTGGACAAGTACGATGAGGTGCCTGAGGATAACTGCGAGTTGATAGAGGATAAGAAGAAGAAGAAGGCTGAGGGGGGTTGAATCGTTTGACGGGGTGATCGGTGTCAGGAGATGAAGTGTATATCAGCATAAGCATAGGAGTTGTTTGCTGGCGCGTGTAGGCGCAAGATAGAAGATGAGGAACTCATGGCTGGAGGCCAGTCCACTGTAGAGGGCGTAGCTTCGTGTTTATCTGCATCTATACCTTCGTTGCAACATAGCAGTGCATATGCCCAGATGATAGGGCTATCGACGCGTCTCTTGTGCTGCAATATCCGGGATGAGAAAACATGCGTTGTCCATTGTACACCTTCGATACGTATCATACATCTGCAAATGTACTATCGCGATAATAAAACGAGTTAAATCATCCTCGAAGCAAATTGTGATACTCATTTAGCATTCGAAGGATACTAGTTGCGGATTACGCGTATGGGATGTGGAAGGGTCATGATGAATGGTCATGGCACGTGCGTGCTTAGCTGCCTGTCGAGAGCTCCATCATTTTTCTCGGGTCGTTGCCTCCAGCGCTCTCACTATATAATCAACCCTAGGGCGCGCCCACAGCCCGACTTATATCAATCGCACGGCCTTTTCCTTTTCTTCATTTTCGAGGACACGGCGACACGATAACTCGCCGCACACAGTCCTTAATTTGCGCGCCGCCGACTAGAGAAGGCGATCCCAAAAGCGCAAGCCGCGCAAAACCACGATACCCACCGCGACCATGTCGAACGACCAGAAGAACCTCGGGCAGTACAAGTATGCGGCCATGTCAAATTTGGTCTTGCAGGCCGACAGACGCTTTACACACCGCGGGAAGGATGAGCACACTGGCGACCCCGAGTCGCTGGCAGGTCGCATCAACATCAGAGACATGGGCGGACGCACAGCGCGTGACAGCGCAAATGCGCAGGCGGCAAAGAAGCTCAAGGGACCTGGCGTTGAGCGCGGAAATCTGAACGAGGGTGGCGATGTTCTCGAGAGAGAGCAGCGCAAGCGGAAACGGGACGATGGCACCAGCGCGTTTGGAGCCACTGCGACAGCCGACTTCAATATCGAAGGCCTCACATACAAGCCGCGGACTCCTGCGACGCGTCAGACTTTCGACCTTATCACAACCCTCGTGAGCAGATCTCTCGGCGATGTCGATCCTGCGACTACGCGAAGTGCGGCCGATGCGGTCCTCGAATATCTCAAGGATGACACCATGAAGGACTTCGACAAGAAGAAGGAAGTGGACGACCTTCTTGGTACTTCCATGGGCGGAAAGGAATTCAACGAGCTGATGAACCTGTCCAAGAAGATCACCGACTACGACGCGCAAGACGACGAGGAAGGTGACGAAGAGATGGCAGACGGCGATGGCGCTGACACGGGCGACAACCAAGGTGTAGCCGTCGTATTCGACGACGAAGAGGAGGATGAAGACGGGCCTCAGACGTTCGAAGTGCGAGATGCCGATTCCTCGGACGAAGAAGACGAAGCAGAGGCGCCTATAGAGCAGATTGGCGAAGACGAAGACCAGAAGGGTGGAGGTTTCGCCGATACCGAAGAGACGATAATACAGGGCGACACGGCCACCGCAGACCGCACAAACGGCGCAGACCAACTTGTACCCGCACACGAGATCGACGCCTACTGGCTGCAACGGCAGATTGGGCAAATATACGAGGATGCGCATATCCAGCAGGAGAAGACACAGGAAGCGCTCAAGTATCTCGCAGGAGTCTCGGAAGATGGCGAAGAGAAGGAGCTCCGTGAGATTGAGAACGACTTGATGGATCTCTTCGACTACGAACACCACGAGCTGGTTGCGAAACTCGTACTCAACCGCGACAGGGTCGTCTGGGTTACGAGGTGGCGAAGGGCTGCTGAAGACAACGATGAGCGAACAGCTGTCGAGCGGGAGATGAGGGCTGCCGGTCAGCAACGGATTCTGCAAGAGCTGCGCGCAAGAGAGACTGGCGTCAAGGCTGAAGATGGCGCTGACGCTGGCACTAATAAGATGAAGTTCAACCTCAAGGACATCAACCTTCCAGATGCGCCGAACGACGTGGAAATGGCCGACGCGAAACCGGAGGGTATCGTGGGCGGTCTACAACCATCGAGCCGAATGGTAAATCTGGACAACATCGTGTTCGATCAGGGCAACCATCTCATGACGAACGCAAGCGTCAAGCTGCCTCAAGGATCCACGCGCCGCCAATTCAAGGGCTACGAGGAGATCCACGTCCCTGCGCCGAAAGCGAAGCGCGACCCCAACGAGCCAGCACTCATGCCTACCTCCGAGCTACCAGATTGGGCGCGTCCAGGTTTCGGTAACTCGAAATCGCTCAACCGTATCCAAACGAAGTGCTTCCCGACAGCGTTCAACGACGACGGCAACATGTTGATTTGCGCACCCACTGGTTCTGGAAAGACCAATGTAGCCATGTTGACAATGCTTCGCGAGATCGGCAAGCACCGAAACCCCACGACTGGAGAGATTGCGCTTGACAACTTCAAGATTATCTACATTGCCCCGCTCAAGGCTCTTGTGGCTGAGCAAGTCGGTAACTTCGGCAAGCGTCTGGAGCCATACGGCATCAAGGTCTCTGAACTTACCGGTGATCGCCAACTCACCAAGCAGCAAATCGCGGAAACTCAGATCATCGTCACCACCCCTGAGAAGTACGATGTCATCACCCGCAAGGCTACTGATACCAGCTACATCAACCTCGTTCGCCTCATCTGTATTGATGAGATTCATCTTCTTCACGACGACCGTGGTCCGGTCATCGAGAGTATCGTCAGCAGAACTCTGCGACGCAGCGAGCAGACTGGTGATCATGTGCGGATTGTCGGATTGAGTGCCACTCTTCCCAACTACCGCGACGTTGCGAGCTTCCTGCGTATCGACCCAGACAAGGGTCTCTTCCACTTTGACGCTACTTTCCGACCGTGTCCGTTGAAGCAGGAGTTCATCGGCGTTACAGACAAGAAGGCCATCAAGCAACTCAAGACGATGAACGACGTTTGCTATACCAAGGTTTTGGAACAGGTTGGCGAACATCGCAATCAGATGCTTATCTTCGTGCACTCCCGAAAGGAAACCGCCAAGACTGCGAAGTACATTCGTGACAAGGCACTCGAAGAGGAGTCAATAGGCAAGATTCTTAAATCAGATGCTGCCAGTCGGGAGATCTTGAGAGAAGAATCCGAGTCGGTTCAAAATGCTGACCTCAAGGACGTCTTGCCTTATGGTTTCGGTATCCATCACGCTGGTATGTCGCGAGCGGATCGTACTGCCGTGGAGGATCTGTTCTCCTATGGCTCTATCCAAGTCCTTGTGTGCACAGCAACACTGGCTTGGGGTGTCAACTTGCCCGCGCACACCGTCATTATCAAGGGAACGCAGATTTACTCCCCCGAAAAGGGTAGCTGGGTCGAACTTAGCCCTCAGGATGTCCTGCAGATGTTGGGTCGTGCCGGTCGACCTCAATACGATACTTACGGAGAGGGTATCATCATCACCACACAGTCTGAGATCCAGTACTACCTATCCTTGCTCAACCAACAGTTGCCTATCGAGTCGCAGCTCATCAGCAAGCTTGCAGATAACCTCAACGCTGAGATTGTTCTGGGTAACGTGCGCAACAGGGACGAAGCGGTTGACTGGCTCGGCTACACGTACCTCTTCGTCCGAATGCTTCGTTCACCCGCTCTCTACCGAGTCGGACCAGAGTACGAGAATGATACTGTGCTGGAGCAAAGACGTGTGGACCTTGTTCACGCCGCTGCACATGTATTGGAGAAATGCAGTCTGATCAAGTACGATAGGAAGACCGGTATGCTCAACCCCACAGAGCTTGGAAGAATTGCCTCCCACTACTACATCACCCACAACTCCATGGCGACATACAACATGCACATCCAGCCCGGTATCAGCGCTATCGAGCTCTTCCGTGTCTTCGCACTCAGTGAAGAGTTCAAGTACATCCCGGTCCGTCAAGATGAGAAGCTTGAGCTTGCGAAGCTACTAGGAAAGGTCCCGATTCCAGTCAAGGAGAGCTTCGAGGAAGCCCAAGCCAAGATCAACGTCTTGCTCCAAGCTTATATCTCCCGCCTTAAGCTGGAAGGATTGGCGCTGATGGCTGACTTGGTCTACGTTACGCAATCCGCTGGACGTATTCTTCGCGCCATCTTTGAGATCTGTCTCAAGAAGGGTTGGTCGCAAGTCGCTAAGCTGGCTCTTGACATGTGCAAGATGGCCGAGAAGCGCATGTGGCCGACCATGACACCTCTTCGCCAGTTCCCCACGTGTCCCCGCGACATAGTGCAGAAGGCTGAGCGAATCGACGTTGGCTGGTCGAGCTACTTCGGCCTCGACCCGCCAAGCATGGGTGAGCTGTTGGGTATGCCCAAGGCTGGCAAACTTGTCTGTGGTCTGGTAGAGAAGTTCCCGCGTCTTCAGATCGAAGCGACCCCCAGGCCAGTTACAAGGTCACTACTCCGTCTGGAGCTGACAATACGACCTGACTTCGTTTGGGACACAGAGCTGCACGGAGCCTCAGAGGCATTCTGGATCTTGATCGAGGACTGTGATGGCGAGCAGGTGTTGTTCCACGATACTTTCATCCTCCGAAGGGACTACTCCGATGGCGACGCCAACGAACATCTGCTGGAGATGACTGTGCCCATCGACGAGCCCATGCCACCGAACTACTTCATCACCGTTCTCTCCGACCGATGGATGGCATCTGAGACCAAGCTCGCTGTCTCGTTCCAGAAGCTTATTCTGCCAGCCAAATTCCCTGCTCACACTCCCGTTCTGGATCTGCAACCTCTGCCTGTTTCTGCCCTGAAGAGGAAGGAATACATGGGCTTGTACGAGAACATCGGTCGCTTCAACAAGGTCCAGACACAGACTTTCAACACCTTGTATACCACAGATGACAATGCTCTCATTGGCGCATCGGCAGGCATTGGCAAGACCATTTGCGCTGAGTTTGCCATTTTGCGACACTGGGCTATCAACAATGAAGGCCGCATTGTCTACCTAGCACCATTCCAAGAGCTCGTCGACAACCAGTACAAGAACTGGAATGAGCGGTTGACCGGTCTCAGTGGAGGAAAAGACGTCGTCAAGCTCACTGGCGAGACAACGGCAGACCTGCGATTGCTTGAGAGGGGTGATCTCATTCTTGCCACTCCTTCGCAGTGGGACTCACTCTCCCGTCAATGGCAGCGCCGGAAGAACGTCCAGTCCGTCTCTCTATTGATCGCCGATGAGCTGCACATGCTTGGTGGCACAAACGGCCATGTCTACGAGATTGTTGTCTCCCGTATGCAAGCAATGGCAACGCAACTAGAGTCGAAGCTGCGCATCGTTGGATTGAGCGTGTCGTTGTCAAACGCACGAGATATTGGCGAATGGATCGGTGCAACCAAACACACCATCTACAACTTCAGCCCGGCTATCCGAGCAGTACCGCTTGAGTTGAAGATTCAGTCGTTCACGATCCCCCATTTCCCATCCTTGATGATGGCTATGGCGAGGCCGACCTACTCTGCCATCACGCAAATGTCTCCAGACAAGCCGGCCATGGTTTTCGTCCCGAACAGGAAGCAAGCCAGAAACTCCGCTGCTGACCTCCTCAACGCTTGCATAGCTGACGAAGACGAGGATCGCTTCCTCAACGTTGAAGTATCTGAGATTCAACCTATCCTTGAGAAGATCAACGAGCAAGCGCTGGCTTCGTCGCTGTCTCATGGTATCGGATACTTCCACGAGGCCCTCAACTCTTTCGACAAGAAGGCTGTTCAACATCTCTTCAAGGTTGGCGCGATCCAGGTGCTCATCGTATCGCGCGACTCTTGCTGGGAGATTGATAGCGGTGCTCATCTCGTCATTGTTCAAGGCACTCAATTCTACGAGGGCCGCGAACATCGATACGTCGACTACCCCATTAGCGATATCCTGCAAATGTTCGGCAAGGCCGGCAGAGTAGGACTGGACAAGTCAGCCAAGGGTGTGCTTATGCTGCCTGCGGTGAAGCGAGAATACTACAAGAAGTTCCTTAACGAGGCTCTTCCAATTGAGAGCTACCTTCCCGACTACCTTCACGACGCCTTTGTTGCCGAGATCAGCGCGAAGACGATTGAGTCAACACAAGAAGCTGTCGATTGGTCAACATACACATACTTCTACCGCCGTTTACTCGCCAACCCCAGCTACTACAACCTCCACGACACGTCGCACGAGGGACTTAGCGCGCACTTGTCCGACATGGTTGAGTCGACCCTGAAGGAGCTGACCGATGCCAACCTCATCGAGCACGATGAAGACGAGGATGCGATCACACCTCTGAACCCGTGCATGATCGCGGCGTACTACAACATCTCTTTCATCACCATGCAGACCTTGATGATGTCGCTCAACGGCAGGACAAGTCTCAAAGGTGTACTGGAGATCATCACAGCCGCCACCGAATTCGAAGACATTCAAATACGGAGGCACGAGGACCACATCCTCCAGCGCATCTACGACCGCGTTCCCTTCAAGATGCAGGAGCCCAACTTCGAGACGCCGCATTTCAAGGCTTTCGTTCTTCTGCAGGCTCATTTCTCACGCATGCAGCTCCCCGTCGACCTGGCCAAGGACCAGGAAGTTGTCTTGCGCAAGGTGCTCAACATCCTCAGCGCAAGTGTCGACGTTCTCTCATCCGAGGCTCATCTCAACGCCATGTCCGCCATGGAACTCTCCCAGATGGTCGTGCAAGCAATGTGGCAAAAGGACTCTCCTCTCAAGCAAATTCCCCACTTCGACGCCGACACCATCAAGGCCGCCCAAAAATTCGGCATCAACGACGTCGACGACTTCATCAACGCCATGGACGAAGACGAGAACCCAGACTACAAGAAGCTCATCTCCGCACTCGACGTCGACCAACGCCAACTCGCCGACATTGCAAACTTCACAAACAACTTCTACCCCAATATCGAAATCGAGCACGAACTCGTCGACCCCGAATCCATCGCTTCCAACTCGCCCGCCCAACTCAAGGTGCGCATCACGCGCAACATCGAGGAAGACGAGGAGCCCAAGATGGAAGTCCACGCACCGTTCTACCCGGCCGACAAGACGGAGAGCTGGTGGCTCGTTGTGGGAGACCAGAAGGAACACACGCTGCTTGCGATTAAGAAGGTGCCTATTCTGAGGAAGTTGGAGACTGTGCTTGAGTTCACGCTCGAGAAGCCGGGTAGCCATGAGTTGACGTGCTATCTGGTTAGCGATAGCTATCTGGGTGTGGATCAGGCGCCTAGCTTCCAGGTTGAGGCTGCGGAGGGTATGGATGAGGATAGTGAGGAGGAGGAGGATGACGAGTAGATGCTTTGACTTGCATGGTTGGATTTGATGGGAATCGTATCTGGAGTGCATATTTGTCACGCAAAATTGGGTTGTGGCGTGACTGGGCGTTACGAAGTTGGATTGGCTGTATAGTAGTCTCTTGTTAAATCGACGCTTTTGTTCATACGCTTGGCTTGTCATGTTCACGCATCCACAATGAGGGTTTGCTATCATCCCTGTAACTTTGGTACATGCTTCGTCATATATAGGTATGCAACACAGGTTCGGAAGTCGAGTCTACTGGCATCTGCCACGCATCGCCCACCCACTTGTCCAGCCGTTCTTTTTCCGCTGAAAACTGCGTGTGTCTGCTCGCATCCTTCATTCACCATGCAAGTTTCAAGTTACATGTGAAGATGTGCGAGGTGCGATGATTGGAGCGTGTAACAATTCGCTGGTTTTTCGCGGCGGCTACATAGTCGGAAGCCCTCATCACGTGACACAGCTGCATCCGTCTGTGGCTGACCGGTCTGTCGTACGTCTTGGCCCCAGCAGGCTACATTGAAATCCTCGTCTCACAGTTACCTCGCAAATCTAAGCCTTGTTACCCTGATCTTGTTATACTCTCCAGGCAAAACGAGCATGACTTCCATCACTGTCCTTGACGAAGTGGCTACGAGAGACCCCTTTACTCTGATTCTCAAGAGCAGTTCGAACGCCTCGAAGTTTCTGCAGCTACCAGCCGAACTACGCTACGAGATCTACGGGTTTTGCTTCAGCGAAGAAGTCTACAGTTTCGTCGATGCCGGTTGCAAGTTCAACATATCCACCAGAAGCCATGGGTACAATGAACGAGCTCGCAAACTACCAAAGTGGCTGCTAACAAATCGGCAAATACTGAGGGAGAGTACCCAGTACTTTTTCGAGGAGTCTATGTGCTGGATCTGGTCCAAAGCTCACAAAGCCCACATGACGAAAGGACTGACATCTATCCTCTCGCTCACAAGAGTCCGTTCATTGCAGCTCACTACTGGCTTGTCAGTCATCACGATGGAAAAGAGCGACGAAAAACATTTGGCTCAAGCGGCAATCATCTTTCATCCTCACAGTACGTACACGGCATACCTGAGCAGCCTGACGAGATTCTCTACGATCGATATGCTTCACCTACGAGTCCTCAAGCTGCGAGTCAACATGCCGTATTCGTACTCGTTCCATCGGCTCCGCTATCGCAACACCCTCAAGAGCTCGGAGGTTGATATCACCGCTCTTTCGAAACTGGGCCCGGGTTTGAGAAGAGTTGAGTTCCTTATTCCCGAACCACAAGTCGACAGTACGTCGGAGGATGAAGTGCTATTTGCTGAGATTGCATACACTGCGGTTCAGACGGAGCTTGAGAATGTCGCAAAGCGCTTGGTTTCCCACGAGGGAAGATTGTCGGGATACATCGCAAAAGACTGGTTAGAGAGAAAGACTTTCCCAGGTCACCAAGTGCTAGACGGCGATGAAGCGGCGGTCGGATGCGATTGGCACCTCGACATCTCATCTGCAGAAGGGGTTTCAAAAACCTCCATTCGACACAAAGGAATGTCGAGCTGGGAAGACATCAGTGGAAAAGATGCTCGATTCCACAGCCGCAAAGAACTTCCTGATGGGCAAATCGAGTGGTACAGCGCGACACATGGGAAAATTAAGATTGTGGTCGCAAACAGTACGCTTGGAAGGGCGAGTTACACATTGCCTTTACATGTCCAGATCTAAGAATCTTCATTATATCACTGAAAATAAGTATTGGAAGTTTGTTGACGGCACGACGTTTTGCAGATGTGCTGGCGATAATAAGTCGCAGCTTTTCATAGAAGAGCCTGTCAAATATTTGCTTCGTCGATTACTATCTACCTTTTTATGTAACTTATCAATCTTCTCAAGTAGCGTTAGCAAAGACGAACATGCATCGCAAATTTCCTTCACCCTGACATACCGTTGAAATCGGGCCGTCTTTGGAGGGACTTGTTGCGGGGCCCTACGCGATACCTGTAAACTTGCGGCTCCTTTGCACAGCCTCCACAAAGTTCAGACCTCGGGAATATATCGACGAATATAGAGTTGGGCTGAACGCGGCCGGATACCTCTATCATGCCGCGTGATGGGGCATGCATGTGTGCGACTTGTTTCTTTTGCTGTGTAGGTGGGGTGGGGTAGTTGGGTGGTCGCGTAGACTAATGCAAGATCCCGCGTCTACGCTTACGGAGATTCTTCTCATACCTAGGTAGCGTGCGAAAGATTCACTCTTCATCAACAACCGTTCCGTTACGCCTTCTGGTAGACGTTTATTTACTGGCCAAATGAGATTTTGAAGAGTGACACCTTGAAACAGCGTGGTCATTTCATTTCCTTAAGGCTCTGAGATTGTGCGCAATATTTTTGGGCAGGCTGTCGTGTTCGATCAAGCCTGACATCGCGCTACACAGGAAGAGTCCCTCGGAAGAAGTAGACATAATCGCTTATGTGCGTACGGAAGGCATCTGGGCATTTACCTTTCCAGGTCTGCCAAGTATGGTAGGGTTTGCTATGACCCCCCACCGGTGAGGCCATGCACGAGCGCCACATGTTTTGATTGGAAGAGATTGAAGAAGAACATGTCGGTCGCCCTGATTTTAGGCTACCATACCCCTCTTGTCAACTGTATAACCACGGTAAACGCTGGAATCTTCTCGCCTCCACACACAATCCGGCGTCACCAAGCCCCAGTCTCGTTGTTGACAGGATGGCATCTTCAGACAGTAGCGATAACCCAGCTGGCGCTGAGTCCTTAATCTCCACAAAGGGTGAGTGACCTTCCAGAGCCGCGCGCCTTCATCGGTGCGTTCCACGGCGTTCCGCTTATCACGGACAGTCTGGACGACGCTCCTCACCAACACAGCCTATCTGCCAGGACTTCTGACCCTCGATTATTCGTTAAAACGCTCCGAATCCGTCTATCCCCTCATCGTCCTGTACACGGATGAGCTTCCACTGCAGGCGCATGAGGCACTTGATCGCCGAGGTATCCGGAAGCGGCACGTTCCCTATCTGTTGCCTACAGCCTCCAACGACTACAGTAATGATCCACGTTTCTATGACTGCTGGACCAAGATGGTGCCCTACGGGCTTACTGAGTACGAGAGAATTGTACAGCTTGACAGTGATATGCTCATCATGAGAAACATGGACGAGTTGATGACCCTCGATCTCGATCCGCCTGAAATGGAAGGAAAGGGCAATAAAGTCTTTGCTGCATCACATGCATGCGTGTGCAATCCTTTGAAGAAGCCACACTACCCACGAGATTGGTATGTGTATGCCCCCACATCCTTAGCTACCTTGCCTTTCCATGTCTTCAGCCTTGTTGAGATACGAGTCACTAAGATGACAACAGGATCCCCACCAATTGTGCGTTTACACATCAGCATGACAAGCCTGATGTGGCGCAAAAGGTCGGCTCACCCTGCACAACTGGACTTCAGTACATGAACGGAGGCCTCCAGGTAGTCAATCCAAGCAAGGCTGTGTACGATCTCATTCTGGAAGCCCTACAACAGCCTCAAACAGCAGATTATGCTTTTGCTGACCAGTCGTTGCTTTCCGATCTTTTTCGAGGTCGATGGGTTGCATTGCCATACATTTACAATGCTCTGAAAACGTTGCGATGGGGAGGTGTTCATGACGCAATCTGGAGAGACGAGGAGGTCAAGAACGTGCATTACATCTTGGCACCGAAGCCCTGGAACACCAGAGATGTACATCACGATTCCGACCGGGTATCTCATGCATGGTTCTGGGACATCAGCGACGAAAGGCAAGCAACCGAGAAGCAGTCTGGCATTGACGACGGATTTTGAACGTGGTCCATGAAACAAGTAAATAATGAACCTCTCCAATCTGAAGTAACAACAACTCTACTTGCGCCTTTTCCCATCCTTCTTTCCCTTGGAAGATTTCACGATAACCCGCTCCTCCTCCTCCTCCTCGGTATCGCTTTGTGAGTCACTCGCCTTTCCTGGGTCCTCAGAGTCTTCGCTTCGTTCACTCTCTTCTGAGTCTCTCTCACTATCCTCGCTATCAGTCACATTCTTCCCTTTTCTTCCAGTCTTTCCCCTGGCTTTAGATGGCCGGAGGTGCGCATCTGTTCTGCTTCTCAACGAAGAATACTCATCCATTCGTGTCTGTTCCAGTCTGGCGATATCAGACTCCGTCTGGCCTCCAAGTGTGCTCTTGAGATACGTGTCAAACTCAGCAGAGGCTTTTGCAACTGTAGAAAAATGTTCCTGAGAAAGCTCGACTCGGTGAGGTTTGTGACCGACCCCGTGTTCGTCATTCTTCTCCGTTGTCTCGAATTCTGCGAGGGCGATCGCAGTCTGGAAAGCATTGCGGATTTGTCTGTCGCATTTGTCAGCCTCATCTGTGCTAAAAAGCATCGTTGCGCTGATATATACCTTCCATTCCAACTGCCTGAACCAGCCTTCTTGAGTTCCATGTAATGCTCTTTGGCGAACTTCAAGATTTCTTTTGATCTGATCTTGAACTGATCGCCCTTTATCTCCTGAGTGCGCGACAGATGCATCTTCCAGATCCGAATCGTAGCATCTTTTTGAAGCCCAGGGTAGTAGAGACTGATATGAATGCGGGAACGAAAGGCTGGATCAAAAAGGCCCACACGGTTGGTCGTCAAGAACAGGATGCCCTTGAAGTTTAGATGTTAGATCGGCAGCCCCTCACAATAGTGTACCTGACAGCAACTTACACTGTAGTACTCAAGTGCTCTCAAGAACACCGACACGATCGAGTTGCGCTTGATGTCCGTCTTGTCGCGCTTCTGGAGAAAGATGTCGGCTTCATCTAAGAGGAGGACACAGCCCCACTTGTGTGCAAGCTGGAAACTACTCTCGAGATTGGTTTCTACCTCAGCTGCAGTGTCACCTATATCGCCGCACGTTATCGGGAAAAGCGGTCTTTTCGTAGTGTCGGCAACGCACTCCGCGGTGGAGGTTTTCCCTACGCCTACCCTTCAGTCAGTAAGCTTATCTCACCAACGTCCATTTGCAGGAGCACGTACCGGGCGCGCCATGCAGCAGAATAACCAAGCCTTTCCCTTTACCCCGAACAAGATCGATGGACTTCTGGTTATGCGGTCCATTTCCTCCTGTGGTAGGTAGTCGTGCGTGATTCGCAACCAATGCCCGCACAGTCTCTTTATGACCAGAGGGCAATACCAAGTCACTGAACCCGCTGGTGTATTCGACATCTCGGATGCAGTCGATGCTGAATTTGGCCCACTTGCGACTTCGCAGAACGAACCCGTACACGAAAGGAGGCAGTAGAAGTTTGTCCTCATCATCGAGATCGGCTGGGTCGGTCGTAGGCTCGAGGTCGAATCTATGGTCTTCCATATATCGCTCCTCATGCTGCATGTCCCAACCATAGTCTTTGTGGACAAGCTCGTTGTCGCAGCATCCGTCTTCTGCGCAGACGCCATCGGTGACGGTAGGGTTGACTGTTTCTTCGTACGTTTCTCGAAGATTGTGACCTACCAAGCTACCCACTCCTACAGGTGAGAGTGTAGTATGGTATCGAAGCATAGCCATCTTAGTGTCTACGATGATCTGGGAGTCGACCTAGTTATACGTCAACATATGATAAGAGGGAAAGCAAGGCCAAAAGATTACCTCCTCGTGGGGCTCATCTAGCGTGAGACCGTGGTAGTGTTTGTGCGACGCTTGATCGGCTTGCGAAAGCTGAAGGTACACGTTGCCTCGATGTATCAACCGCTGTCGTAGCTGTTCGTGAGACGGATCGAAAGCTAGCGGAAAGATGGGAAGACTAGTGATGGGTTTCTCTCCGTCGTATTTCCGGACTACAAACGTCTTTTGAACAGGTCCGTAGTGGAAACCATCAAACTCAAAGCTGGCAGTTTCCACAATGAATGTCTCACCCCGGTTCTCGTTTCGGGGTGCGGACTGGGCATCGAGAGCGGCGCGAGCTTGGAGCTCCGCCAATAGGCCGTGCTTCGCAAGAGGTTCGCGTCCTCCCGTCCACCTCAACACTCGGTATACCTGCGTATCGTTGTCGCTGGCCCTAACTTCCTGTCCATAACGGAAGAGATGCCATAGGTCTGTGTACGAAATGGTAGCCAGCTTCTTCGTTTCGATATCCCGCCGCATGTCAAACATCGGCTTGAGATCCGTATCATACAACTCTTCAAGTAGCTTCAGCTGCTGTATGGCTTCGATATCGACAGGCTCGTTGTTCAAGGGGCGATCAACCTCTATATCCGGCCTCAGGGTACCGACCTCATCGTGTTCTTGAACAGTCTCGTACAGTTGTGCAAGCTTCTTTCTTATTGGTTGCTCCAGGGTTATAAACAACTTGAACGGGTACTGGAACACCTAGAATTCGACATAAGTATCAGAGAAGAACTGCTTTATAATGACACTGCGAGATTTAGTGGACTTACAAGAGACGTTGTGCCGCTAGTCAGAAAGCTAAATCCGACACTTTCTGCAAGGTGCTCTAGCGTCTTAAGGAGTTTTGAAGAGCGAATGCGAATTCGCTTCGGGTTCTGTCGCACCGTCGGGATGGTGAGTGCCCTGGAAGGCGAAGTGCGACCGAGTCCGGCGTGAACGGAAGAACGCTTCCTGGACCGCGAATTGATGCTGATCCGTGGTTCTTCCAAAAGTACCTCAATGACGGAGTTGATTCCTCCTTTCTTGAACGCCGAGCTACCTACGTGGGTAATCTGCGGACGTGGTATTCCAGATGGTGCAGGTCGTTTGTAGTGTCCAGGCGGCGCTCCAATGGGGGGTCCGTAAACGGTGCCCGCTAGAGATCTTCTATCTTGCGTTCTTTCGTGATGCATGCTGACCTCTTTCCTGGACTCCGAGATCGATTCGTGGTATTCGATACCATTTGCCTTCCTATGAAGAGGCTGTTCACCATCCTGGCTCACATTGATTGTGATACGGCGTTCGTCCACATGACCAGGGCTTGGTGGGCTCTGAGTGTGTCCACTAATTTGCTCATTGTAATTGACTCCGATGGATTTGTTCTGCTCCCAGATCCGGTTATTGAAACCTTGATAGGAGTTCGAAGAATCTGCGGTACTCATGATGAGTATGTTCAAGGATCACACCGAGTGATGAAGCCGTGTATGTTCTCAATGAGAAGGTGATGGTAGTATGCGTCAGAGACAAAAGTATACACGCGTCGGTTGCCAAATTGCGTGGAAGAGAGAGTCTTTTGGGGACTACGCTGGACGACTACCTGAATCCGGTCAGATTGAAAGGCTCAGCAAACCCTAAAGATGTATGGTAGCACTGACAGCTGGAATAGAGGCTCAGCTGTGACACGTCGCGTGCACCACGCCAAGACGGCAAGAAATGCAATTTGTAACAAAACTGGTATCCTACATCAGCACAGCCATCGGTAAGGAATCTCACTGCATAACTTGGCTGCAAGCCACATGCCAAAGTTGGCTCGGCCGTCCCGTCTTGCAGCTGATACCCGTGGTTGGTGGGGTCAGAAGCTTCCTTCCGCTGATGCCCAGATGCACCCCTCACGCGAATAAACATGACTTCGCCTTTGAGTGAGTAGTCATCGGGCTTGGTACTATGCCAGTAAACCCTTGCAGTTCTGGAAGAAAAATATCAGGCAACAGAGTCGGTCTGACAGCATATCACGTAGCCACAAGTTCATAGTGAGGCGCAAGAAATAGAGAAGGCTGTTCCTTACCATATCATTCACAGCCTTGCGACAGTTGCCTGCAGTCGCCAACTGAACGACGGTCCCCATCAGGAAGAGCAGAGAGCTTGTCTTACGGAGTCTGCACTCTCTTGCTTTGACTTTCATCCTATAGCCAACAATCATCCGCGTCGCGAAGAACTCTAGCGGGCTGATTGTACCGTTTTTGTTTCCGAAATGGCCTCCAAAATCAACCAGGAGGACAGCACACAGCTGCTACAGCGTCGAAGAACCCGAACAATGTCTCCCGTCAATGCTTCTGCCGACTTCATTCTGAACTCCATCAGTTTAGCTGAGAACACTCGCTATGTAGCTGAGATGGACTGTTTCGTGTCACTGGAAGAGGCCGAGCAACACCAGAACGCACTGTAGGCCATCTCTGTCTCGATAAGTTTCGACGAAGCACTAAAAGACGTCCAGGGTTGAACTTTGGCAAGACACTGCCGTCGAAAAAGAGAAGTTGCTGGCAGCGATGAGCGTTCTACAGCAAAAAACACGACGCAAAGATAGCGTGACGGAGAGAACCCATGAAGACCAGCGATCATATACCTGGAAACAAGTCATTACCGAAGTACAGACTGCTAGCGACTCTTACAAGAAGACCGTCTTCGCAAGAATGTGCGAAAAGTCTGATATATTTGAACATTGGCTGGCGCTCTTGCCGGCTGGTGACTACACGTCTTCCATTAGCGGTGCTTTCATCTTGGGAGTCCAAGTACGTCGTCTTGCACACTATATTTACACCATGTTGACAAGCGTAGGCGGCTCGTAATATAAGCGGCACCCAGCAGACGATCTACGAAGCCCTAGCCACCATACCAGAAACCTTGTCCCATGCGAGCGCATACGTTGAGATATACAAAGCTCACTCGAGTGATACTTTGGTAAAGAAGACTGCTGAGCTTTGCAAAGATATCCTCGTGGTCTTGCGAGTCATAGTTGAGTTCTTTGCGAAAAGCTCATGGAGTACGTATATTCGAACAGGACTTTCTGTTAGACCAATGTACTGATGAAGCCAAGGAAGAGGTGCCTCTGCGATGATGAAGGGAAGTGCGCATCAACAGGAACTGACAGACGCCATCGGGGAGATGAAGAACAAAGCCCTGCAATTAAGAGAAGAGGCGAATCTTTGCCTGCAACGAAGAATTGCCGAGATGGATCGGAAAAGCGATCTTCACGCTTCTCGGGGTACGTACATCGCAACTGTAGGATACGCAGAAACTAACCAGTCTTCTAGAAAAGGCTCGCCATGAGCTCTCGAAAGAGCAACTACTGCTAGCCATCGACTCTAGCACAGAGATCACCGCGCAGAAGGTTTGCACATATCTCATGCGTCATTTGCAGGCGAATCCAGATTTCAACGTGAAGACTGGTGGCCGTAAGTATCTACATGCGCATTTTGGAATGACACATTGCTTACCTACAATAGTCGCTTCGAATACCAATACTCCTCCCCTGCTGACTGTAGGAGAAACCTCTCCCCCGAGGCCGTCCACTACGATCGGTAATAGCATCACCATCAAAACCTTGTTGAGAACGCTTGATATCGACCTCAAGACCGTTCAAGACGACACAGAGTACTGTCTAGCGTTGGGCTTTACTCAAAGCGAAGACTTTCGCAATCGAGCAATATGGGTGCTACAATCATCCGAGTTTGGTGATTTCGTGGCCAGTGCGGACGAGTCGAAGCTGCTGCTAGTAAATGGTAACAACGACGCCGCGCAGTTCATTTCACCGCTCTCGCACGTGTGTGCCAAAGTCACGGACCTGCTGGGTGTGTCGGACGAGATCTTCTGTCTCAACTATTTCTGCAGTCGTCACACAGATCAATGGCGTGAGCCACGAGCTGACGCGACGGGACTGATTGCAAGTTTGACGGTTCAACTCTTGACTCAGGTCAAAAGACGAAAGAAATCCCAGAGCCTCAATCTAGACCTGTCGTTCTTGTCTTTTGAAGATCATTGTGCCGTGCAGGCTGGCGACATAGAGGCGACATTCGATGTCTTCCAGGCCGTCGCGAAGCAGCTTCCCAAAGATACCGTTGTCTTCTGCTTCATTGATGGTCTTTCGGCCTACGAGAACTCCGATCGCAGAGAGAACACCAACAGGCTGATGAAAATGATACTCAAGTTGATGAAGAGATGCAGGAGCGTGGTCTTCAGATGTATGGTAACTTTCCCCGGAAGAGGTAGTTTCACCGATGCTTGGAACGTGAAATCGATCGGAGGAAAGGCAGAAACGCTGGAGGTTCTCATTGATGGCTTGTAAGTCGGGCTACGCGATTGACTTTTGATATATTTGGGTAGTATCAGTTCCTTCGGAGAGGCAGCGTAAGCATACAAGAGATGGATTGGTCACCGTGTGTAGTTACAGAGAAAGTAGAAAGTCTTTACTATATAAGCGTACTCATCTCAGGCTTACCTTATGCTAGCTTACATGTTCTAGTACATGTCACTTGCAGTGACTTTTAGATTGAGATGTGGTGATTTGTAGAAGAGCGGACTCGCGAGGTGCAAGCTTTGGCGGTGCGTGTAGTACCTCATAAGATATCACTAGCTGATAAATTACTAGCGCGTTCACCTCCTAAGCTTTTTCTCTGACCCTTCCGTCACCTTGCACCTTCAACACTTTCCACAGTAAGAATGTCGTTCCTGAATCTTCAACCCTTCGACCCAACGTTGGCCCGTTATCATCACGCCTATCTCAACAACGGTGTTGCACCGCCCATCACTACACCCAACGTCAAAGGCCCGCCTAATCTCGTGCCTAACGCAAAGTGCCTCGCAATGTAAGTATAATCTCATTGAACAGGACTCTGCTCACGCATAGCCTTATTATCTACGAACACAGGCGCTAACAGCCAACAGCGCTCAACGCAATAAAATCCAGTCACCTCTCCTGCGATTACCAGCTGAGGTTCGTAACAAGATATACGCCTACACGCTCGAACTCATCCCCACGGAAATATGGCGGTGGCATCACGAAGAACTCTACTTTTGGGATCGTATGTTCTTTGTTCGATCCTCGCGCGAGGTCTTCGCTGAGACCGCCGCCGCGTACTTCGAACTGAGACTCCTCCCATATCACTACGCTACATTGTCAGTGGTAAAACTCCCGCCGCGTAGGTCAGGGCTCGTACTGCCGATCACACCGTCTCAATTCCGTATGCTGGGGGGCCTTGCTTTTAGCTGGTATCATGCGGTGGGCCTAAAATCAGGCAAATACTGTCCATTTGCGCACAGCGGGCTGAGGCGGTTACATATTCATGGGGCACCCGAAAAGAGCATACCTCGACTTTTGTGCGAAATTCGGCTTAGGGGTTGGATGGAGAATCCGCGGTTAAAGTTCACGTACACCATGCATGAAGACTTGAGCACTCCGCAATGGATCCCGGATGCATAGCCATCGAGACCCAGTAAGATGAAGGGTGTATGTGGCGCTTTAGGATGGATGCCGACAAGTGGTGCCAATACGTCGATTCCTGCGTGTGGGTTCGTGAAGTCTGGTCGCGAAGGACAGGCGAACCAAATTCGATTCTGCTACGGCTGACTCAAAAGTAGTGCTGATAACGTGGACGCGGGAGAATGAATAATATGACGAAAGAAAGTAATCTATGGTTTAACTTATCATGCGTGACTGGTATTCCATGCACTAGTGGCGTGACTCTTGTGTGGATCTCAACCACCTCTTCAATCTGTGCTCTCAAGTTACTCCGACTGATCTGAAACCCCTATCTCCCAACTCACACCCTGCCAGCCTGCACGTCTGTCGAAATGGACGAATGCAAAGGACCACCCACTCTCGTACCCAGCGCCGATTGTCTCGCAATGTTAGTTTCATACCTCACTAAAAGTAGTGCGCAGCTAAGTTCGAAGTGCTAACCGCCAACAGTGCTCAGCGCAACCAACTGCAGTCCCCTCTCTTGCTTCTACCGGCTGAGATTCGCAACAAGATATTCAATATAGCCCTAGACCTCAGCGCAAAGAGGTGGCAACACGACTCATATTTCCACTGGGACCGCCTCGATTTGTCCCGTACATCACGGCAAATCTTCGCCGAAACCGCACATACCTACTTCGCAATACACATCTACCCTGTTGCACGCTTCATACATCGCGAGTTCGACCTATCCGACCTCTCGAAACTCCGGAAGCGGTGTACGCCGTTACAGCTAAGGTTGATAAGGCATATCGATATTGATTGGGATGCCTTTCAATCTGAAGATCCAGCCATGGGACTCCGCGAGCCTATCGAACGGAACATGCGTACATTGCGGATATTTCCTGCACTGGAAACACTGATTATTTCGGAGGCACCGTATCAAGTGACCGGTGCTGATGACTGGTATACGAAGGAATTCCGGAAACAAGTGGGAAACCAAGACCTCTGGGTGGAGTATCTGGAGAAGGAATATCGGAATGGGGGTTAATCATGAAGAGTAGGGTAACTTCTTCTTTGATAATTTCGTTTTGGATACAGACTGATGTGTGTGACGCCGAAGTTTGGTTGCCGTGTGCTAGACCAAGGATGAGCCATATCCACACGAGTCACTTGGGACTTCGAGATAGAAATGAAAAGCATCTACATACAACCATACCTACTCCCAGCCTAATAGCGACCCTTCAACATGTTTTGCATAACGCGCTTTGCTCTCGAACCACCCGGAAGGTTCATATCAAACATACCACTCGCAACAGCCTGCCTCTGTAACGACTCACCAGCATCGCGCAGCCGAATCCAACTCTCCTCATCATCCTGCATAGCAGCCACATTCGCACTCCCCAAAGTAGGGTCGTAGAAAGGACTATCCGGATCCGTCGAGTTGAGACTGTACTCACTAGGCGGCGGCACACACACCGTCCCTGGCGACGGCAGCTCACCCGTCTGAAAGTAAGTGTTCACGCGACTCAAGATGCACGGGTCAGGTGCCGACATCGAACAATGTCCCGCGTGATCGCCAATCATAAGGCTGCTTCCAGGGAATAGACTATGCATATAGCGTCCGCTGCGAAGAGGTGTAACCGGGTCTGCTGTATTGCTGACAAAGAGGATAGGATGCGATGTGTTTGCACCCCAAGGACCGTCAAACTTGTAGTTAGCTTTGATCTTCCAAGAGGCACATTGCATCAGTAGCATGGACCAGTAGGAACCAAAGTTTGGCGAAACTTCGTCCATGATATCCCAGTATGCGGCGAACTCTTCTTTAGTGAGATGGGTTTGATCAATTCCGTCGCTGCACAGGATGGCTGTCGTGGAAACGGGGGAACTTGGCTGTTCGAGTGGTTCGCTGCCATCGACAGGACAGGAGAATACGTGGTTGTAGCGCAAGGTTCCGGCGATCTCGTTGATTTCCCTACCAACTCCTTGTTCAATGGCGAATAGGCTGGCGGCTACGAACTCAAATGTGAGGCGCGGCTGGTAGGTAGCGCTGAAGAGAATTAATTTGATGGTGGACCAAGTGAGGAGTTCTGGGCCTTCTGCCGAGACGATGGGAAGCGGATTGTGGTATAGCGATGCGATAATGTTTTGTGTGCGCTCCTCTATGTCGACAACACTTGAGTTGGCGGTGGCTAGAGGACATCTATTGGGACCCACATTGTAGCAGAACGTATAGAAAGAAGTCATGGCCTTTTCGACGTCTACAAGACTTCCGTTACCCATCGAGTGGGTGTAGTCGTACGAACTCACGACTCCATCGAGGATGATACGTCCAACACGGTCCGGGAACATGGACGCAAACGTGGACCCAAGGAAAGTCCCGTAAGAAAAGCCCAAGTACTGCAGCTTACTCTCTCCAGGAACGTACGTGGAGCCGTGGCTTCCAATGCGCTTGCCTGCCTTCTGTGCAGCTTTTTGAGCGACCTCTTTCGCCACATATTCGGCATGCCTCTCGGTGATCTCCAACATGTCTCTGGCAACGAACGCAGTAGACATGTACTGCTTGATATCCGGTCCCTCTTGTTTCTCTTCGGCAAGCTTGCAAGATGCGCCAAAAGCATGTTGCATGGACCAAAGTCTACCAAGAGCTGCATCCGAGCTTCCAACAAGGCCCTCGGTCTCTTCCCTCAGGCTCCAAGACCATGAAGAAGACTGATCTGGCATGCATCGAGCGACTGGCTCTGTCCAACCGATGCCGCGAGGGTCAAAGCCGATGATGTCGAAGTATCTTGCATCGGTAGATGGGGTGAAAGTCTCAACGTTAGAGTCTATGATCTGTTGTAGCCCTCCTGCTAAGAAGAGCGCAACTGATGTACCTGATCCTCCGGGCCCGCCAGGGTTGAACAAGACCGGGCCACCATACCGGGGATCATCTACGGATACTTTGGCGGGTAGCTTGACGATAGCGATGCTCACAGTATGATCAGGGTAGGTCCCGTTGAAGTAGTCCAGTGGCAGGCTCAGTTTTGCGCATTCAAATTGGCCAAAGCATTTGTGGAATTCTAGATGCTTACTCGGTGTGATCTGGAGCTTGGTCAGTCTTGCATCCACCAGTCGATATTATGATGCTGAAGCAGGCTTGTTAGACTAGATTGTAGGGAGCTGCTGTTCGCTTATGTTGATACGGTGCTGGGACTTTGGCTAGAGCGACATGCTGGTGAGCCGGAATGGGATCTGGTCAGGCCACCAATCACAATCAGATTTTTCATTGAGCCTTTTGATGACGAAGGTCGTCTGTGGTGCTCCGGCATGCGCCCAAGACATCTCCCGGAAGTAGAGTAACCACCTGCTGCGCGACTTGGATCGAGGCTATCATTCGATCTGATAAGATGCGGGCCAGGGTGGCTGCAGAACCACGTGTGCGGTGCGACGCTCAGGGAACACTCTCTCAACATACCTCGGACCACTCAAAGGCAGCATCATGCAACGCAGGCTCAATGTCTAGAAATGAGGACAGATCCCAGTTCTTCAATTCAGGGAAGATGGTATCCACTGCCGCGAGGCACACGAGTGTGACGAAGGTCGCAGAAAGCAGTGCACGCCACCGCGTCGGGGTCCGTCTAGGCTTGACCGGCGCCGTCGCATCCTCCAGCCCGTTCCAACTCTTCATGATGTACTCGAAGTCGTTCCAGTCGGCTGAAGAACAAGCAAAATAAATGCGATGAAGTATTGGATATCCGCGAGTCGTTGAATGGTAGAAGACGGGTGTGGAGGGGTCGTCTGTCAGCGTGCATCCTCAGCCCAAGACATTCGACGTCGCATCCTGGCGCCTGACGCCAAAAGTGAAGATCACCTCAGGCAGCAGCAAAGCACTCGAGGATGCGGAAGTGTGTGCGCGAGGACTATACAAAACGCAGCACGGAGTGCGCCTGACTCCCCGCAGACAGCCCAGCTATCGCTTGCAGAAACCTGCCTTTCTACTCTGCGTTGGTGCGGCAGCTGCAGCAGGACTGGTCGGCGGCTATGTATGCAATATGCAGATGTGGTCACAATGCGCTGCCTTGGCTGCTGAATTTTCCATGTGCAGAAAGCGAGACTAGTGCGTGCGATTAAGTAATGGGTTAGTTGCCGTCGAGATTATCCATGTGTTGGGTGGTGAGGAGAATTGGCATCGTCACGAACCTGCGTCTTGTGGAGGGACCCGTTAGAGACCGCAGAGCCTCATCGCAACAGCGGTAATGTGATCTCATTGATCCCCAGAAAGAAGGCACCGATCCCGCTGTTGTACTCGTTTGCGAGGCGAATGTGAGTGAGCATGCTTGCTTTTGGAATGCGGTGTAATCTGCTTTTTGCTGACATGTCTGTTGGTGGAGTTCAAGGTTACATTGGAATGACACAGCTTTTGGGTAGGTAGCAAGCCACCATGACTACGAAGAGCCCGTAAGGAAAGTGCACAAAGAACGGGAACCCTCAAAGCGCGACAAGTACAGAGTAGCAGCACCTCCTGATTCAATGGGTATCTCATCTCTCAGTACCAACCACCTCTACTGCCATTAAACATGATATGAAACGTCCATGTGAATGATGATGCTCATTCGAGGAGGAGCAGTGTCGGCTAACGTCCAAAAGATCTCCATCGTGTAAAGCCAGCTCCAATCCCAGGAGCGTTCTTGCCCTCAACTAGAAAGTTCGTACCTTTGGTCATTTGAGAGCACAGGACTGTGGGACGTGGGTCCGCCGAGGTGTTTACCATTGCTGGCCACCACCTTGGCCACCCTCTTGACCACCACCGTAACCGCCCTGACCGCCGCCCTGGCCGCCACCGTAGCCGCCGCGAGACTGGTATCCGCCGCCGCCGCCGCCTTGAGAAGGTCCCCAAGAGCCGCCGCCCTGGCCGCCGCCGCCGTAGCCTTTTTGCTAAGTTAGTTTCTCACTGTGAATCAGACGGTGACATGTGCTTACCACGGTCGCCGCCACCGTAGCCTGGGGATATAGTTAGTATAGAACCGCTATGGGTAGGCTGAGTGAAGCTTACCTCCTCCTTGACCACCGCCGTAACCTCCACGGTATCCGCCGCCACCGCCTCCGTAGCCGCCGCCGCGAGGAGCACCACCGCCAGCGCGGTCGGAGGCCTTGTCGACGCGAATCCTACGTCCGTCGAATCTGGGAGAGTCAGCAGTGTCCACTGTTGGATGGTACGTGAAGGCAGAAAAGACGTACTCCTCGTTGTTCATGGCCTGCATAGCGGCATCGGCCTCGGTGTCCTGGGCATAGCGAACAAAGCCAAAGCCTCGGCTGCGGCCAGTATCGCGGTCCTTAACCACGACCTGTGACGATGTGAGCATTGACTCGACCTTGGCGACGACATTCGTCGAGTAGCGTGTCACTTACGGCTTCTTCGACTTGACCGAACTCCTCAAACTTTTGACGGAGAGCTTGGTCGTCGGTGTGCCATGCGAGGCCTCTGTTCAGGGTCAGTCGCGGTCGCGGTATGGGAAGGCTGCGTACTTACCCAATGAAGAGCTTAGACATGGTGAGAGTGATGTCTGGGTCGAACACTGAACGGTCTCAATACTAGCTCTCGCAACTCGAAACAAGGCGCGCGATACAAAGAAGCTCAAGACAGGTAGTGACAGGAGTTGTAGAGTGAAGGAAAAGTGCAGGAAGGCGAGGAATCCATCGCGGCTTCCCGGGCAGGCAGTATGTAGCAACGTGACGGAACGAACATTTGATCTTGTAGCACCAGGCTGTATTGGTGATGATGGCGCAAGCGATTGCTCTGAAGAGTTAGAGGAGGGAGAGTCGGCTGCAGGCTGTCGCAAGAAAGTGATGGCACAGGGTGAGGAGCAGAGATAGTGAAGCGTCTAGGTTGGCGGGGCAAGCGACGATATGAGTACCCCTCCACCAGGTGAAAGAGCGCTAGGCTGCAAGCAAGTAATAGGTTGCGCGCACGGACTGGAGGGCTGAGGGCCCGGTTTATAAAGCGACGTGGATGGCCACGAGCGACGGGGTGCAATGTGTCTCTCCAGCCAGTCGAGCCAGTCAAGCCAAGGGGTCTGGTAGTTCGGACCTGGGCTGCAGGCAGGCAAACGGAACTGGCCCCTCGCAGCTAGCCGGTCCCAATGCCTTGTCTAGGAGCCCGCACCTGACGATGGACAGGGTGCAGATACTGGTTCTGCCATACATGTCGGCTGGCTGGCTCCCTAGCCTGTCCCGTGTCTGTCTGTTCATGCTGGGTATATGCAGCCCACGTTAGCCTGAGACCGGGGAGGCCCAATTGCAGGGCCCTTGACGAGCCAGAGAAAACGATTTTTTTGATAGGTGCATCGATCCATCGTCCTGCTCAGAGTGCCGGCAGGAGTGCGGCGGCGCCATTGGGCCACTGCGAAATACGTGCATGGACAAGCCTGCGGATAGACAGATTGCGTGCTCGAGACAGCAGCGATCTGCGCCTGTGGCTACAGCAAGACTATCGGGCTGTGACGAAAAGGTCAATGGCGGACAGGTATTGGACAGACGATGGTGGTTCAAAGAAGCTTATCAAAGTCGCCATCCTTAGTCTGACGGTGTGGGGATCGGGTCTAACTAACTTCCAGGCCCTCCAGGGCTCTGCATCCCGAACTGGCTCGTGCGCGCGACGTCAAGATGTAGCAAGCTGAGCGTGCTTAATGAGACGACTGCTCGCACTTATACGACCGAAGTCCATTGCGCTGAGACAGGCCAGAATGTCCCATCAATCACATACTACACAGTCGTCACCATCGGATACAGAAAGCGGGCAAATCGGCAGTGTTTACCGAGATATACCGAGGCAGCGCGGACTGAACCGATCCATCTGTGTTCATTCTGCGTATCTCCAAGCAAGTCGGCGACGAGAAGCCATCGCAGCCATTTCCCTGCGATAGCGGCACAGCGCATGCGGCAGCACGATGCACGGTGCCAAGACGTCTCGCTCTCGGGGACCGATTCTATGGCAATACCAACCGTCCAATGATATGAGCATCTTGCAGCCCGAATAGAAGTAAGGAGAGGAACACACACGACAGACATGGCCTCAGTTCCACACCGTGAAGGTTGAAGGGTTGACGATGCACTGGCGTCATCAATGCATCGTGCCTTCCTCCAGCAATGCAGTGGCTTCGGCGATGCCGGCAGCCTCACAATGGCAGCACTCATTGCACCTGCCATCACTCTGTCTAGCTGCCTGACGTAGCCTATCAGGTAGCTGCAACATCCAGATGAGACCTTGTCACCTTGAACGTCTCCCAGACTACAGTCACACGAACGACTATCACGACGATCTGCTGTCTGGCCCCTCGAGCATCTCAGACCCACCAGACTTGCGAGGCGAACCAGACTCCGTTAACGGCACGGCTCGTCTAGGATGCAGGACAGCATGGACATACGAAAGTGGCTAGACGAGACAGTGCAACCGGAAGCACCGCGCGAGCCCAATGACCTTCATCAGACCGCAGAGCCTGCTAAACGGAAGCGCCGCCGCAGATCAGACAGCTCCCTCCTCGATCCCCGTCCACTTGCATCCTCTCCGCATAAGCCAGCGGAGGATAGTGCTGACGAGGCGCTCCAGGCGACATGCAGCGACAGCTCTCGCAGCAGCCGATATGCGCGCAAACATCGTAGAAAGACGCGTCCAGAGCGGTATGAGCCACAGTATGCGCCAGGTCCCCATGCCCATCACGATCGTAAGGACAAATCAAAGAAGTCGCGACGCAAGCCTCGACGCAAGAAGGGCGAGAAGGCACCTGGTGTTATGCAGACCTTCCAGGCCACGAACATATCTGGAGATCGGCTGACCGTAAGATGTCTATGCAGTCGCCTGGAACATACAGTATGGTGTTGACGATTGGACTAGTTGAAGCCACGGGAGCAGCTAGGCCTCTTCAACAAGGGACGGACATCTACTGCAATCAAGGGCCGCGGGTGTGAGTAATTCATTCCCCTTCCTACAGCCTGAATGATGTCTTCCTGTACGTCTTCCCCGCATTACCCAGCTGACGTGTCGCAGTGCCCGATCTGGTCTTCTCGGAGATGAAGTTCTTGCAGCAGCACAAAGACGAACCAGAGCCTGTCCCTCGAACCAACGCGTCCAAAAAGAAACGCAAGAAGGACAATGAACAGATGAAGGAGGGAGAGATCTCCGCTTTCTTTACCTCAGCGCAACCGGCATTAGCCGACAAGGACACAAACACCCTACCGCAGCATCCTGTACCAAAAGCTAAGCGCCGTCGTCGTGATCAATCCTCGGTAGATGGCACTGCTATCCCAACTGTTGAGCCTACAGGCCAAGCCTCATATCTAGGTTTTGGAAGTAGAGGCCCTCGCCATGAGAGTAATAGTTACGTTTCTTGGTCAGAGTCAATTCGAGCGCCTAGCACGGCGCCCGCACGCCCTCACATATCTCACATACGTACCAGTTCGCGCGATGTAGACTTTCATGGTGAGTTCGAAACCAAAAATGCAAATGAGAGTAGCTTCAAACTACCAGCCCGACCCCCTCCAGTGACGAAGGAAAGAACCGATAGCACGCCTGCCGAGCGCTTCAGGGTTTCGTCATTGGTTCCATCACATGGCAGAGCTTCGAGATCACAGTCCTTCCCACAACACACTTCGTCCCCGCGACGACCAAACCTCGTCGATCGATCTGCGAACCCACATGCGGCTGACAACATTCATTCGCCTTCGTCAATGCCACCGTCTGCGCCCAAACATGCTATGGGCACGCATCGTATTCAGCTACCCAGCTCCTCGAAGAATAATCGATCAGACTCGACTCCAGTCTCTGGGATGACTGCTCCATCCGGGTATGGACAGGAGAACCAGCATAGCGAATACAGTCCTGTGGGAGAAGGAAGAATACCGACATCTTCTGATTTGGGGGTGGTTTTGCGGCATTGCAACGATACCTTCCACGAACGACGTCTGGCCATAGGGTCGCGGAGGAGACACACCGAGGAGACGCACCCATCGTATCCACAGTCGAACCTGCGGCAGAGTACGAGAGACACTTATCATGCAGCTCAGCAGGGTCCCACTGTACGCTTCGCGGATCAGTCTCAAAATGGACCGGTGATGCCCAATTTTGCTGGCCCGAGCATCTACGAACAACAAGCACAGCGTCAGCGACCTCATATGCAATGGGATCGCGAAGAAGAAACTCTCCAAAGTCCATACCATTTCGAAGAAAACTACTCAGACCAAGGAAATCAAATGGAATACGATGACGGGATGGAGCATGATGACGAGAACTGGGGAGGGCTTTTAGAAGAGGCCCTGTCGTATAGCCTTGATGGTGATCCTGACATGTACGGCGGTATCGAAGCACACACCGGAACTGAAATTGAGCTGGTCCAGGATTCGAGACCAGAAAACGACACGGTGGCTCCTGGATTTTGGCGGCCGAATAAGTTGTACTGATGTTGAGGTGGGTGGCTGGCTGGCAGCCACATAGCGCGTTAGCGGCAACTTTCTTTTTTCGTGATTAGAAGAGGTCCTGAATAGCGAGACGTGAAGCCTGCAGTTATCCCAAGAAGCTCAAATGATGAGGAAAGACATGTGACTGCAATCTGATTCATGGCAATTTGACGAAGCTCAGAAATCGATAGCGACAAGCTGCCTCGGTGTCCGTGCATAAAAAGTTGGAGCTTCCGGTCTCCGCTCCCGTACCTTGCGGACGTTTTCTGATCCTCGGTCTGGGCTTCGCATGAGAGGAGAATCGGCTGCGCTTCCATCTGGTAGTTTACTAAACGGGTGCCATCTGCATGCTCATCCATCAATCGTTGTTGCGGCTCTGTCCCGCCCAGAGATTGATCACCCGGTCGAAGCTCCCCTTCCCTACCGCGACGGCTGTCCCATGCAGACAGTCGGCGGTGACGTTCGTCACAGTGGCGCCTTCCCAACACAGCTCCCCGCCTGCGAGCCCCACTAGTAGACCCCTCAACGACAAAATCAACTCTAGGGCTCGTCTACTTGCAGGCCATCTCAACTCCACAGCTTCTTCTTCCACAGCCATCCACACAGCTGCCACGAAGACTCCATCCACCATGTCTTACACCACCCGCAAGGTTGGCGCTGCCAACACCCTCGAGCACCGCGTCTACATCGAGAAGGACGGCCAGCTCGTCTCGCCATGGCACGACATCCCGCTCTACGCCAACGAGCAGCAGACCATCCTCAACATGGTTGTTGAGGTGCCCCGCTGGACCAACGCGAAGATGGAGGTGCGTCGGCCCCAATTGGCTGCGTCGTGGCCTGCGTACGGCCGCGCGAAACGAAAGACGCTGACTGTCGCTACAGATCTCCAAGGAGGAGCAGCTCAACCCCATCAAGCAGGACACCAAGAAGGGCAAGCTCCGCTTCGTGCGCAACTGCTTCCCCCACAAGGGCTACCTGTGGAACTACGGTGCCTTCCCTCAGGTACGCTGACGCGACCCCGACATCGGACAATACACCAATGCTGATGCTGTGCAGACTTGGGAGGACCCCAACGTTGTCCACCAGGAGACCAAGGCCAA